AATGGGCTCAGGTATAGTAGGGATTGTGAGGCAGCCACAGGACTGGGCAGTTTTTTGTTCTGTTGTACATAGGGTCACTATGAGTTGGAGATGACTTGATGACACATAACAACAAACAACATGTATGAAAAATAAGAAAAAAAATTCTAGAAAATGCCAACAAACCAATGGAGACAGAAAGCATTTTAGTGATTGTTTGTAACTGGGCATTGGTGAAGATGGCTCAAAGGAAAATAAAGATGAATAAGGAGAGTTTTTTAGAGTAATAGGTATATCTGTTATCCATAAATGATAATTTCACAGATACTGATATATATATGTTGTTGTTATTATGTGCCATCGAGTCGGCCCCGACTCATAGCGACTCCTCCTTGGGTTTCCGAGGCAGTATCACTACGAAAGTAGGATTGCCCAACCTTCCTTCCGAGGAGTGGCTGGTGGGTTTGAACCGCCAGCCGTCTGGTTAGCAGTCAAGTGCTTTAGCCACTATGCTACCAGAGCTCCTATATATATATATATATATATATAAAATAACTAATGAAGTTTTTATTTAAATAAGTGTAGTTCATTTTATGCCAAGACCAGAAGGTCTTTGAGACATATACCTCAAAAAATGGTTTTAAAGAAAAGGTAAAATTCCTTATTCTGATGGAATTATCATCACAAAAGCCAACAACATATAAACCCAATGATGAGATGATTAAAGGTCTTATTCCGATGTAGGTAAGAGAACTGTGATATCTAATACTACTAGTTCTATTCAATTTTGAAGATGCCAGTCTTTCAAGTAAAAAAAGATAAAAGAAACATTAAACTACATACAAATTGTAATAGAACAAAACTGACACAATATAGATGATTAAATTGTGTATAGAAAGTCCAAATAAATTTATGGATAAATTATTAGATGTAATAAGTGTGCTTATAATGATAGGTGGATAAGAGGTCTCATGTACACAGATACACATGTTGTGACAAGTTAGAAATATCAGAAAAGGAAATACAAAAGATAGCTGGAGCCAAATCAAACAAAAGAATATCCAAGACCTCTATACAAACCATATTATATCACATTATTAAGATGTCAATTGTTAACAATTATACCATTGATTAAACTCAATGTCACAGAATGATTTTTTTAAATACTTATATAGAAATATAAGGGCTAAATGAAGAAGAAGGAATGAATAAATCTTTAAGAAGAACACGGTTATAGAATTACTTCCTATACCGAATATCAGACCGACTCGATGGCAAATAACAACAACAACAATAGAAAACTTCAGTAAGTTTACCCATGTGATACTCCTGAAACAAAAAAATAGAAATATGAAACATAGTGACAAGAAACACCCTAACACACACAGAAATACACTAATGTGATTGATTTATAACAAGATGGCACAGAGCAATATTGATAAATGATCATTTTTACTAAAAATCATGCTCAATTAGGTAGTGACATAGAAAAGTATACATTTCTATGAGCATCATAAAAATTAAATCCAAATAGATTATACATCTAAAAGTAAAAGGTAAACATTTTCAGAAAAAATTTGAAAGTAAAGACAATATATAAACCTACAGATTAATTTGTAAATTATTTATATTAAATTTGATTAATTAGGAAAATAGCTTCAAAATAAGCACTATCACTATAAATGATAAATTGGACCATGTTAATAAATTCTATTTGCTAAAAGTAAGAAAGGAAATATGAGAGAAAAAGTATTAGCCACAGAGAAAAATTGACTATTAAAAGTTTATAATATCAAGAAAGAATGCACATCCAAAATATGTCACAAATTTATTGGAGGGACAAAGACTGATAATCAGAGAATAAAAATGGATGAGACATGAAAAGGCACTTTACAAAAGAGGATATCCTTGTGGCTAATAGCACATTATAATGTGTTCAATCTAACAATAATTATTAAAATATCTATTAAAATTGATATTATTATATAACCATCATAACTTATAATACTGAAATTCTTCATAGCACTCAGTTTTGATGAGGACATTGATCAAGGGACAGACTCAAATACTAGTAGATAAAATATGTATGTGTCTTATAAACTAGTAAACTGTTAGGATAATTTAGAAATATTGGTATGCATATATACCTATAACCATACAATTTCATTCCTATACATCTAGGTAATGTGTGGACAAAAGATGTCCAGAAGGATACTTAGAGGATAATTACTCATACTAGCTAAATTGTAGCTAATATTTTCACAATAGTTAAATTTCTATACACCATTGAATGGAAAATGTTTATTCATATATGAATGGAGTTTGTGTTGGTGCAAATGGTAAAGGACTTGACCACTAACAGAAAGGTTGGTGGTTCAAACTGATCTGTAAGATAGTCCTACCACCCTGCTTCTGAATGATCACAGCCACTGAAACCTCTTTGAAATGAAATTCTACTCTGAAACACATGGGAATCCATGACTCAAAATTGACTCTATAGCAATTGGGTAGATTTTTTTGTCTTTTAAGTTGTTGTTTTGCTTTAGTTATATAACACATCAATGACAAGTAACAAACTGCAGCTAACTGCAATATGGATCAACTCCACAAATATATGTGTGAAAGGAGATAGACTCAAAAATGCATACCATATGACTCCATTTATATAATGTTCAAAAACAAGAAAACCTAATCTATAATATTAAAAATCAGGATAGAGATTTGGTAAGAGGAAAGAAAAGTGATAGCAGCAGACAGGGGTAGAGCTGATGAGAGGCTAGCATCTTCTATTTCTTTACCTGATTTGTAATTACATGAATGTATTCACTTATGATTAATCTTCATAATTTTGATATATTTAGATTTATTTATATATGGTAAAATGAAGTCCCAAAGTTTACTTTAGGAAAAAAATAATTATAAAAGCATTGTTTTTCATATAAAGCAAGAACTGGAAATAAGGCAATATACCTTAATAGTTTAAAATATAAATAAAACATTATCAGTTTAAACAATGAGTAGACTGTAGATTGAAAATAAATAAAGCACAACTCTGGATAAATAAGTCGTAGAAGAAACACAATCAGAATGCTCCTCAGAAGCAAACTTGACAAGACTTTGGCTTGCCCATTTCAGGCATGTTATCAGTAAAGACCAACAACTAGAAAAGCACATCTTGTTTGGTCAAGTAGAGGGTTAATGAAAATGAGAGAAACATTCAATGAGATGAATTGGCAACGATGGACGAAAACATAATAATGATCATTAAGATGGTGCAAGGCCAACACAACATTTTGTTGTACATACTGTTGCTGTCATGGATTGAATTGTGTCCCCAAAAAATATGTGTCAGGTTGGCTGGGCCATGATTCTCATGGGCTTGGCAATTACATAAGATGTAGTGAGGCAGTTGTGGAAGGATGTAATACCCCAGGATGTGATCTCATGGCTTCATGCCATCAGTTGTAAAGGGATTGGAGAGAATGCAACAGCCCCAATCAGGTCACAGCCCTGATCTTCTGTAAGGGAGTTTCCTTGAGATGAGGTCTACATCGCCTTTTATCTTGCAAGAGATCAAAAGAGAGAGAAGCCATCAGAAAAAGAGGGATCTCAGGACTACCAGGAAGGAAGAGCCAGGAGTGGAGCACGTCCTTTGGACCCAGGTCCCTGTACTGGGGAAGACTGATGCCATGACACATGGAGATCTCCAAGGGCTGCCAAGCCCACAGATGTTGAGAGGAAACAGAGACCTTCCCCAAGAGCCAACAGACAGAGAAAACCTTCTGCTGGAACTGGTGCCCTGCATTTGAGCTTCCAGCTTCCTGAACTGTGAGACAATACATTTCTGTTTGTTAATCATCCACTTGTGCTACTTCTATTATAGCAGCACAAGATAAACATTTACCTTGGGTTAGACCCAACTCGAAGGCAACAACGATATGGACAAAAATATGGATGAATTCTAAAAGCAAAATATCAACTGAAATCATTAAGACCCTAAACAGATAATATACTATAAATCTATTTACATAAGTTTGCAAAGTAGGCAAATCTATTTTTTAAAATATATATAAACATATGGCATTTCAGTAATGTTTCTGGATAAACACTTGTTATTCACGCAAATCTATTTTATACAGATTTTCATAAAATATTTCAAATATTTGAAATCTTACCATTTCTTCTTCATTATCTATGTAAAGCAGATTAGATACCATAGAAACACAGGCCTTCTGACTCTCATTCCAGCTTTTTCTTTCATCACTAATAGAATAACAATTGTGGGAATAGGAAAACCAGCCCTCTGGACAAGGACCACAATGATACACTGAAAAAAGATTATTAATTACTATTGAGAGGCAATTTGAATTAAAAAATAAAAATTACGTGACATATTTGAATAGGCATGAACATATATGTACATAATCTATATATGCAATCTTATATATTGACATATACTAAAAAAAAAAAAAAAAGAAACACTGAAAGGCATTAACCTCCTACTGCCTAATTTATGTACCATTTAAAAACAAACAAAAGCGCTATTCATGTCCTGAAAATCACTTAACACCACATTATTAGAGTAGTAAATGTATTTGTTTCTTAACATATCATGTTAGTTTCTGTCAAGTAGATTTTCAACTCATAGCAATTCTGTGTGACACAGTAGAACTTCACCATGACAGCAAGGATTGTGAGGCTGGCCCAGGACAGGGCAGTGTTTCTTTCTGCTGTACATAGGGCCACTACTAGTCTGTGCCAACTGGATGGCACCTAACAACAACAACAACAATAATCTTTACAGGAGCAATAGGAAATTTGAGCCAATTGTCAAAAGAAAGAGATAGTAATTTTAAAATAATATTTCTAACATTTGAACAAGAAGGATGCCTTCAAATGATCTTTATTTATGAAAATTCATTGCTACATTTTGGTTTAAAAAAGTCTACTATTTCTTCATGGCCTAAAATAGAGACAAAGTATACTCTTAATGTATCAGAACTTTTAAAATTATCACATACCTTTCTGGGTGCTTGTTATTTGAGAATTGTTCTGTTCCAGTGTTTGAACAGCTAGAAAGATTAAAGTAATTCTTATAGACGTTAATATTTCTGTAATAAATCATAATTATTTGTTTCCTAGTTTAAAATTCCATGTATTATTTAAGATGATAATAATGTATATTGAAATTATTTCACCAATAAAAATTACTAAAGTACTGAAGATTTTTGGAAAAATATTTGAACAGCCTAATGGGCAAATTTTATCACCTATTACAGTATTTGATTTGACTACTTTCAAAAATTAATTTTTATTTCTCAGTAATTGTTTTCAGTCTAATAAAATATACACATTTAGAATTCATAGCAAATACTCTCTATGATCATTCTGTTATTTTTACTTTTGAAAAATTCAGAATAACTTTTCCACATTTAGTCCACATATATAAGACATTCTTTGTCAAGTTTTAAAAACTTGGCAAACATAAGACATCAGTGCACACATTAAATGATAATTCTATTCCATAATATTATGAGATACATGTTGCTATTTTTGTTACATGCCGTCAAGTCGGATAGGGGCACTTTTAAAGCTTTAAAGTGATTATTCCCTTATAATCTTTCAAAAACTTACAAGAAGTAGTAACTGTGACTTTCACGATTATTACACTGGCCATCAAGACCAGGCAGATGATTCCCAGGATCCCAGCAATGAGCTTCCCTGGAGAGGATGGGAGATACACAGAGAGAAATGGAAACACTGAGACAAGACAGACGGAGCTGATGCTTAGAATGTTTACGTACAAGAGGACCCAGACGCACAGGGTTCTCATACATAAACACTGGACACTGAACCGACATTCTTCATTATAACTTTTCTCTCAGAATACACCATTGCATATTCAGTAAAGTAATAGCCCGTGAGTTGTTCATCAAAGACCACATTTCAACCACTCCTCAATGGAATTAATCTTCAAATTTCATAGCAGAACACAATAGCTATACTTCAAACCCAATCCTCAAAAATGAAAAATAGTAAACCCATTCTCTTAATTTGACTGTCCTTGTGCCATGCTTTGTTCTCATTCTTTCCCCCATCTCTGAACTAAAACTGCATATCCTAGTGCAGTTATATTGAGAAGTGATTAATATTTTACCTTTGCAGTGGAAATTCTTGTCACTATTTTGGAGATGCTGAGGAGCATTGTGAAGATTTAATTCCACGTAAGTTAGTTCCTGCTCACTGATTGAAATGGAGCTATTTGTGTCCTTAGGTTTGATTTGCGACCTTTTTGACTTCTGGGCATGAGGCAGGTCTGAGTACATTACTATTTGATCATTCATCTCTGCAGCTGAGTGGTGGCAAGGTCTGTGCTCTATGACTGTAAACTGTACTTAAGAAGGAAATACATGCATCTGTATGACAAGAGCAAACAAGGTGGTGAGTATTAGTGGTCACTTTGCAGTTGAGAAACTAAACTTAGATTCTAATTTAGTTAAAACCTTTCACAATATCTCATGGTGGAATAAGTAACATTTAAAGATATTCTGCATTTGAGAAAATATTACTGGTTGGAATAATAAAAAGCAATACATTTTTGAAGAATAAAGAATTTCATAAATAAGAAAATATTGCTTATTAAAAGGCAGATCACACAGAAATATTTTTAAACTATTATAATAACTGGGTTGCAAATTAAAATGCTATATTGGAAAAACAATGATCCATCACACTATGACAATTTTGAATTATAATAATTATTAAAGATTGAGTGCTCCAAAGTATCAGGGATTGAAAAGTAAGCATATGTAATAATTTATTGCACCAAATTTTGATTTAGTGACATGTTTATTTAGGAGATGAAGTGTTATTGTGTGGTCTTTTTCTTATTTACTAATGGATGGACAGTTATGAGAAATAATTACACACTTAAGGATATATATGTCAGAACATTTACATGACACAATAAACTTAGCCACAACATAAAGAATATATGAAACACAATGTTAAATAATTTAAATAATATGTTTCTAATATGAAAATAAGGAGCTCTGTTAGCATAGTGCCTAAAGCACTTGACTGCTATCCAGAAGGGTGGTGGTTCAAATCCACCAGCCACTCCTCGGAAGGAAGGATGGGCAATCCTACTTCCGTAGTGATACTGCCTCAGAAACCCAAGGAGGGGTCACTATGAGTAGGGTCCAACTCGACGGCACATAACAATATGAAAATAATTGGCACTTTATTTAATTGCTAAAATATGAGACCATAAACTGATAAATAAAAATGTTTATCATTTATGGAAGAACATGGTTGTTTCAAACCTCCCGAAAGGTCATATGGTTGTCACAATCCTTCAGTCCATTTGAGTTCTTTAGTTGTGTAAGTAATTGTTATAAAATCTTCTCACTGGACTCTGGAATCAATAGGATCAAGAATTGAATTCTGGCTTTGGAACTTACAATGGGTGACTGTTAAAAAGGTACTTAGGGTTTAGTAATCTAATCTTCTAATCTGAAATGGGAATAACATATAAAATGCAATGCGTGTAAGTACTTAACTCTCAACCTTGCAATTATAAGCTCTGAATCGATAACTCTTAATTTTATTTTAGCCATAGTTTCTTGTTATTGCTTCTGAGTCATATTAGTTACAGACTGTAAAATGATTCATTAGAGAGCATGCTATCAGCGTGGTTGTTTTTCCAGTGTTTTTGAAAATTTATTTAATTCTTTTGGTGTTTATTATTAACTGTATATTAGCATTTTATGCAAACTAACTCATCCTCCTTTTTTTAAAAAAAAAAGTTAAAGTGTGCGTACAAAATCTAAGTAAGTGAATAAGGAAGTATGTTTGACTTTGCATTATTCAATCTTTTTTAAGAGGCCATCTATACAGACTGAGCTAAATATAAAATATACATGAAATACATAATTATACAAAGATACTCCTAGAACCAATTATAAAATCCAAAATTAATCATGCACTGTCATGATGCTTATGTGATTTCACTTTAAATTACCTTGTGTAACAAACCCAAATATGCAGGTGTGTACTTAACTAATTCTCCACAGGTAATAATTTGAATTAATTAAGAAATCCCCCAGCACTTTTCATATTTGAAGCTTACTTTTATCCTAAGTGTAATGTCCTATGGTGCTATTGTATACTAATATATTCATAACATTTGTATGCATCTCACACTAAAAGAGGTGGGCTAGAAGACAGAGACAAGAGCCACAGTACATACCTCTGTCAGTCGGAAAGTCATCCATTTATTCGTGGGAAGGTCTCATTAATGTCCTAGAGTGACCAAGTATTTGTTGTTGTTTTTATGTGCCGTTGAGTAGGACCTGACTCATAGTGACCCCTCCTTGGGTTTCCGAGGTGGTAGCACTACGGAAGTAGATTGCCCAGCCTTCCTTCCGAGGAGTAGCTGGTGGATTTGAACCGCCAGCTTTCTGGCTAGCAGTCAAGCGACCAAGTATAACTGAGTAATAAAAGCGAAATCTAAAGACATAAATCCAGTGTTCTGGTTACCTAATGCAGCTCTGACTGGAATACACCACAAATGGGATGGCCTTAACAAACAGGAGTTTATTCTCTCACAGTTTGGAGGCTTTAATTCCAAGTTCAAAGTGCCAGGCTCTAGGGGCTGGGAAAAAGTCCCTCAACCTTGG